TATAGCAGGGCATGGGCGTATAGGACGATCACCCATTATTAGATCCACCTAACATTGATCCCTTATCAAACAAATACGACATTGTGTCCAAAGGTTTCGAAATTAAGTGACTCGAGCTACCCATCTGCAGAGAAATCATTTTACTTGAAAACAATTGTTATATAATATCAATTGTCCAATACTTTTCGCCTTAAATGGTGTCTCTACGTGGCTTTTAAAAATGATGAAATACACCCCTTTTACTCAAACGTAGCAACTAATTGTCTTTCAGCTTTGGACTCGTAAAATTCAGCATTCATCGACTGTAGACATTGGTGACGACATCTGCCATGTTACTCTTGATATCATTGGTAAAACCTCGTTTGGCTATGGTTTCAATACTGTTTTGGGGAAAGAAACGGAAATTTCTGCAGCGTTCAACTCCTTGCTCAGTGGTGCCGAGTTAGGCTACATACTTCGTCGTACACTTATTCCATTTTATAAATATTTGCCATTGCCGGACAACCTTGCTGTCAAGAAGTCACTCAGTCTTGTTAACAGTACCGTATTTAAGGTAAGTTTTCTGAATGATTGTAGCCAATGAGAGTACTTGTTAGAATTTAAACCAAACAGCCAATAAGAGAGCGAAGTACATATATYCCTGYACACGGGACACGATCTTCKTCGCTGATTCGCAGACGAACATAACAACAGGCTGTAAGCAGAATCACTATCTCTTCCTTCTTTATGCCCAAATTTACCTTTTATTGTTTCSTATGGATGTTGATTTTTATAAGCAGTGTTCTATYTTCAAAGGTTATTGGCGAACGCCGCATGCATAAAACGGTTGACCACAAGGATCTCCTTGACTTATTACTCGAAATGTATRAWGAAGAGACTGGTGCTGGTTTTGATGATGAAGAACTGCGGGCTCAAGTCTTTACATTCATGCTAGCGGGACACGACACAACGAGTACATCATTGTCATGGACGTTGTTCGAGTTAGCGAAAAAATCCGAAATACAGGACAAAATAAGMCAAGAAGTCAAGGTATAATACATAGAATCTCGTTTTAGGAAACTATGTCACCCTGGGTAACCTACAAGCAGTGGTCAAGGGGATCGTGGGTATAAAAGCTAAGCCCAAAGCAAAACGACCAGACCAAATTGACAAAAAAGTTTACGGAAAATTGTGTGTGTATGTCAACAATGGCAAATATTAAAATATACTAACTTACTATCAGATAACAATGCATTTTCTTCGGTAGGGTTCTTACCACTGATGTTTTTTTTCACAGGAAGTTCTTAAAGAAGAGGAGAAATTGACTTGGGACAAGCTAGAACAGCTTGAATACCTGGGTTGTGTGATCAAGGAGTCTCTACGGCTTCGTTCTCCTGCTTCTTTTTTTGCCAGAGAAACCAATCAAACTGTCAATATTGGTGGCTATGAGATACCAAAAAACACCATTATCTCGATTCCAATTGATGCTCTTCACTTGTCGTCGGACCTTTGGGAAAATCCTTTGGAATTTATTCCTGAAAGRTTYATGAAAAATGGTGAGTGACRSGGTGATGATGTTGTCCTGTGCTCTTGGAGACCTTTTTCGGAGATAGCAGTTTGCATTGGATTGTGGTCTAGACTCGATACATCTTTTGTTCGTTCTGCCAAATATGGCGTTGTTTGTGCTGAAGCTAGACCACAATGCACTATGATTTTGCATTTCAGAAAAGGTCGTCTATGATAAGGATAGTGGGTAGTAAGTCCATTGAATACAAGACCGTCWTTGTCRTTGTCATATGACCCTTGAATACCRATGCTGGCGCCATRTTACATTTGACTAAAGAAAGCCCTTCACCTCTGTCGGCTGATGGTGTTTTTTCCTCTAGCTATTCAAGTGTTTCTCTGTGTAAAGAGAAAAATCCCCTCGAWTGACTGCAATATTGCAATTTGAAATGCAAGTGCAAAACCCGCGTAATAGAAAATTGACAGCCTTTTTGAAATGCAGTCTGTGATGTAGGGGGCTATTTTATTTTGTAATTTTCCGTCGTTAACTCACCATCGCTTGCTGTCATTGTTCTCAGATGCYACTCCAATGAACCAATATCCCTTTCTGCCTTTTTCGTTTGGTCCTCGTATTTGTATTGGTTACAAGTTCGCCATGGCAGAGATGAAGACCATACTGCTCACTTTGCTGAAGAACTTCAAATTCACCGCTGYACCTGGATTTAAAGTCAAAAGTTTTATGAAGCTCACGACCAAGCCAGATCCCAGTGTAAAAGTTCAAWTATCTTYGTTGAACAACATCAGCTGAATATCTATACTTTAAAGYACAAAACAGAATATTTTTGTTCCTCGAGTGAAATTGATATTTAGAGCGGATTTCGTATGACTGTGCAACGGCACGGATCACGACACGGAAACGGCACGACACGGTCACGGAACCTTGCCTTCTAGGATTACAAATAAAAATAAAGATTTAACAATACATCACCGCTACGGCACGGTACGGTCACAGCGCGAAAGTACCGTTTTTTTTGCACAGTCATACGAAATCCAGGGGGTACCCACCTATATTTGCTATACGGGTATGTTCCGCTCGATAGGGTCCCTCTTTCGGAGCTTTAAGTCTGGGATAGGGTATCATTTTTGCCTATTTGTCTGGGTTAGGGTAGCAGTTTTGTCTGTGTTATGTTTTTTGTCTAGGAAAGGTTTATAGTCTCATTGTCTGGGGTGCGGTGGAGTTTTGCCTGTGATCGTATCTGCTAGGTCACGCTTTCAGCGCTAAAATAATGTACCTTTGTACCTTTGTACCTTTGTACCTTTAGTCTGGGGTAGGGCATGTCACACCTCCACCCAAGTTGAGGATTTAGTAACCCCCCCCCTCCCTCCCTCGGGTACGAAATTCGCTCTATACATAGCTTCTAGCTGTTACAGATTGTCCAATGTCAGCCTGAACAGGTTCATATATAAAATGTGTTTTATTTGATATCAGGCTCTATATTATTTTAACAAAAATAATGCTTTTAAGGCGGACGATTGTCGTGTGCGACTTAGTATCTCAAGCTGCTAATTCTGATATCATCGGTTATTTGTATATTTTCAGTAGATGAAATGCAGCAATAAAGCAATTCTTAAACTAATTATATGGAAGCTATTTTAATGCCACATCTTCACTATATGTTGACTAGGCGTCTTTTTGTGAACAAAAATAGTCGCGAGTTGCCATCCCGCTTTCATGCCCTTTTATAAAGGAAAACTCAAATATTTGAACTGGGTTGGCCGGTTTCTTTTGAATTGGGTGCAAAGTAGCATTACAAATTTAGAAAATGCCATTCTATTTCGTGACTATATTGAACTGATAAGATTCGTGCAAGAGAAACTAAGATGATCTACCCTGCTGTGGAGAGGAGGATGAACAAGGCGCGCAAAAGATTATGGGCATAAAAGCTACAGCATGAACGTTTYATTTGACAAATCATCGCCGTGTCTCATCAATTTTATCAAGCTTTATTCATTGTGACATGAAGGAAAAAYTCTTGACAGCGTTTATTTTCAGCGTTTATTTTCAAGTTCAGCAAGGCATAAACCCGAGGAAGTAAAAAAGTAAAATAAAAAAGAACTGAATGTYATTTTAAATTAGAAATCTTCGAATTGCTGTAGAAATATACACATTTTATCAGATATAAGTTCCTCAAAACTACAAAATAAATGGTTGCTACCATCATTTCCAAAAACACCTCAAAAATTTGGACGTGAATTTTTAGGACTGGGCCCCACAGTTGAAAATAACCCAGAATACAACGCGTTCGTCATTCATCATGGCGGATTCTGAAGACGAAGATCATCTCAACCTCACAGGATTTTTGTTTGGGAATATCAACGAGAGAGGAGAATTAGAAGATAGTGATATCCTAGATGAGGTAAGGRAACATCGATGCGTGATATGAGTAAAAAAAATGTRGTGTTTTTGTAGTGATTGCGCTGCAGTRTTTTTAGCTTTGTTCTGTTGTGATCTGGATGATCAGCTGTCTAAACTGAGTTAACTTATTGCTTATGCGAATCCTGATTCTAAGTCTTAAAAAAGTAGGCATTCTGTATAAAAGACATATAAAATGATCGATGTTATCGTAATAAAATKGGGCACGAATCTTTTAGAAAAAATAGTTTAGACAACTGAAGGTAACGTAGCTTGCATTGTAAACAAGCTACAATTAAGCTTATGTAGCTGGAATTTGCATCTTGCTACARGTAGGTAAGCTTAAGTTATAAGTTAAAATCCAGTTATGATTTTATAGTTTATTTTGTGCAAAGAAGCTCTTGATTAGACTCTCATATGAAGCAGGTCACAATTTAGTCAAACAGTGCTTCATTGCAGTATCTCAAATGTTATTTTCTTCAGTAAAATAACAGAGCATACATGGASATAATGTTATCTTCATAATTTTAATCAGATGTAGCTATTCATGTTATCCATCTATTTTGTAATTATTTAAGGAATCTCGTAAGCATCTTGGACAGCTGAGTTGCCTTGGAGATATAGGGAGTCTTGTGAAGGACATAACTGAAGATGATAGGTTACCTCATGAGTATTCAGAAGATCGAGATACAGGTATGGTATTATTGATTTGCTGTTATAATATTATTACAAAATAGWATCAATAAAATCATCAATTATTATTATTAAGTAACAATGCGCTAAAGAACTAGGGAACTCTCTATTGTTCTGCGGCATAGCAAGTTCCCCATGTAGGAATGTCTTGGTTTTCACACTGATTATCATTATGTATTAACCTATGGGTAACACATTTTTAAAACAAAATGTGGATAAACTCTATTTTGAAACAAAGTTTCTTTTGTATTAAAACCTCTTATCCAATCACAAGCACTCAAAACAATAGCCAAAAGATGCTTCTAATTTGCAATGTTCACACATAGAATTGCCTTAATATTGAAGCTAAAGAAAGCTTTCATGAAAGCGAAAACAGACATTAAATAAAATATTAGAAAATTCGCTTACTTGT